CGCATCCTGCGCGAGCAGGTTACCAGCACCATGGCGCGTAGCGCAGCCGTGACCAGATAACGAGGCGGCGCGAAGTGACGACGAATTGGAATTGGCGGGCAGTGTGTTCAAGGCCCGGCAACCTCTACTGCAGCATCAGTACATCGTGCACATAAGACCGCCACCACAGAGCGAGTGGTCCGACCCGGACAACCAACGCCTTGTCAACGACTACGTCGGGCTCACGACGTCCCGTGCATTAGACGGACAGTGCGCGGTCATTCGACGCACGCCTGGCGCCTATCAGTTTCTCGATCATATCTGACAAGTCGCCATCCAATGGTTTACACTTGTAGAGAGGCCCGGCAACGGCCAGCTCGGGTGTCCCGATTCCATTGCAGTCCAATCATGACGCCGGTACTTTTCAGCGACGCCATGATTGAGATCGTGGTTCCCCCTGGTGTAGAGCCTAACGGCTTTCACTCCAACCAGAATCCCTTCTTCGTCAGCGCTGTCGGCAAAATGCAAAGTCGTAAAGGGAAAACTCAAGTCAGGCAGGCCTCGTTGTCGTGGGAAGCTGTTGATCGGCCCCAAATTGCCGTTTACCGATGGGTGCATGCGCACTACAATGGGAAATGTGCGATTAGCCCACCGTAGCGCGCAAGCAGCGAGCGAGCGACAGCACCCAACGTCGCTTGACCGGCAGCCAGCTCAATATTCCAACACGACCGACACACAGCTATTTCTACCACCCGAACGCAATACGTACACACGATCTACTGTCTGCGGTTGGCCGACGCCTTCAACTGCGAGTCAACTAAGATCCAAACGACTTTGCCGGCGGGTGGTGTCAGTGGGCGAGATGCGACGGCGCGTTCGAATGCACCGTGCACAAGTTCCTCACCGACAGGCTTCGAAATCGAACTCCTTCGTGTGACTCGAAACCAGCCGTCATGGCCAAAACGATGCTCCAACGCAGTGCTGCGTCTGAGACCCAACGCTAGCATCCAGTGGTGGTGGTATACGAACCCACCAACTGACCGTCGACCGTCCTTCGCACCGACCACATTGCACGATTCATATCATTCCAAACCGGAATGTATGTTGCCCATGATACCGTACGGTGACATCCTCGACATCTATGTCAACAACCATGCCAACCTAGTATTAGCGTCGTTTTCAAATAGACAGGAGCCATCAAACTTCTAGCTCCTGGGCTCGACTCGAGCTCATTTGACGCACCTCAGGGCCTCTTGCGCATCCGAACGGAATGCGACCGATTGGGACGTTCCTCGAGACGAAGACAGAGACCTTGCCCTATCATCGATCAACCCTTCGAGCCTTGCCACGTTCGACGGCGATGCATTCGAACCAGCCCATCTTGTGAGTAACCCGTCATTGACAAGCAGTCGGTTCCAGCACCGCGAGCGACTTTGCTCGAGTCACTTTGCCTTTTCCCTTTGCTACAACAAGCGCGATGCTACTGCTTCTCTCGACGACGCTGCTTCTTGCGGCCTCGCTGCAGTCGGTTGTCGGCCACGGCCACCTCGTGGACCCCGTACCCGCGTTCACGGACAAGTACGGTGACCCGTCCAAGTTTGCTGCCACTTTGAATGGACCCACGGTGCTTCCCGGCAGCTCGTACGAACAAGGCCCGGACTGGAACACGGACCAGTTCACCAAGCACTTCAAGGCCAGCTCGTTCAAAACGCTCAAGGCCTTTTTGGACGCGTACCCGACCGGCGGCGACTGCGGTATTACTGATTCCAACGGCCCGGCGCAACCGTTGCCGAGCACCGTCAAGTGGGCCAACGGCCAAGAAGGCTTCATTTCGTCGCACCAAGGACCGTGCGAGCTCTGGTGCGACGAGACGCGCGTCTTCCAGGATGACAACTGCGCCGCCAATGTCCCCGATGGCTTTATGTCGATCGACACGTCCAAGTGCTCTGGGGCGAAGCGACTGACGATGCTCTGGCTCGCGTTGCATACACCAGAGTGGCAAGTGTACAAAAACTGCGTCAACCTCAGCGGCGTGGCGCCGGGTCCTGGCCCCAACCCGAACCCGAGCCCCAGCCCCAGCGGATCATCGGGACCTTCGCCGAGCCCGACGCCCGAGTACCCGTCGCCTCGCCCGTCGCCGCGTCCATCGGTTAGCCCGACGCCGAGCCCGTCCGTGAACCCGAACGATCCGATTCAAGGCTGGAAGCAATGCGGTGGCGCCGGCTACAGTGGCAACACCAAGTGCGTCAACGGGTTCCAGTGCACGAGCCTCTCGTTGACGTACTCGCAGTGCATGCCCTACTCGAACAACAAGGGCCAAGTGACTCGCTACGGCCAGTGCGGCGGCTTGTACTACACGGGCAGCACCGAGTGCAGCAAAGATGACTCGTGCGTCGCCAGCGGTCCGTGGTTCTCGCAGTGCCTCCCCGGCGCCAACTAAGGCATGCAATTGGTGCAAGGACTGCGTGTCGTCTCTCGTCTTCAATAGTCTATCTACTTGTAACTATATACGCTGCGTAATGCATGCTTGTCTACCTATACATGAGCAACATAAGACTTCAATGGTTCGATGGCCCACCAAATCAAGTACTAGTAAGCTCACTCGACAGGATCGCCCTCCTTCTCAATGGGAAGCAAGGATTGGTGGAATTCGTCGCCATTTTAGCTAATCCCGGGACTCTAGCGCCTCGGATTGGCCAATTCGGCCGTATATCCACCAATCAGGCGATAACGTATCTTCCGACCATCGAGCCCAACCGATCCATGGCGCTTCTTTCTACAGACAGTAGCGGTCTCCAGTAGCTACGACAACATGTCCATTTCGTGTTATGTCGACGGTGGTGCGATTGCTTCCTTGGCTGCTGCTTTGTTGAGATACGGCGAGACGTACTTGAGGATGTAGCTATACACCAGCTCAAGCTCTTCCATCGAGCGTTCGTTGGCCGTCTCGGCATCTTCGTCCAGCACACTGCGGACCCACTGAACCCGCTCGAGAAGTCGACGCACGCGGTCCTTCTTGGCTTCATGCATCGGGTCGTTCATATGGGTCACATACGTCTCGTAGGCGTGCTCGACGGCAAGCACATCGTGGCGGTACGTGGCGCAGAGCATCGCATGCTACAGCTGCATCTAGAATCCCCAACAAGCAAAAGAGATAGTGTACCTCTCGCCAGTACGGCGTCGTTGACTTGTCGTCCTGCACCGAGTCGCTTGTCAACGTCGTTGGCACGTTCAGAACACTCGTGTAGGGCAGCACGACCCGATCAATGGACTGCCAGACACGCTCCAGCTCTTCGAGCGATCGCGCTATATGGGTACTGCGGTCTTCGGTCAAGACGGCGGCGCAGTGCTCGATCTCTTGCAGCGACGACGTCGCGTCACGGCCGCGGTCCGTCAAGTGCTGCCGGAGCGCCGAACACACGGTGAGAACATCGGCCTCGTACTTGTCTTTGAGTCCTGCCAGCTACGCCAAACGAGTGCATGGGATGACGAGAAATACATTTGACAGGACGTACTTGTAGCCAGTAGAGGTCGGATGTGTCGGGGCGTGAGCTACTGCTGCCAAAGGATGCGCTGTCGTCGGCCCATGTTGTCGTTGTCGTCGTGGGGTGCAGCGTGCCATCGGCTGTGCTGCTGGCTGTCGTTGTCATCGACACGTACGACGCAGATGACGCTTTGCGCCCAAATGATACTTCTTCGACGTGCAGTTTGCTCAGGTACGGCAGCACGATGCTGTGAATGTACTTGTGGACGCGATCAAGGTCCTCGTGGCCCCGGCACGTGGTGTCGTCGTCGAGCACTTCGACGCAATACTCGACGTACCTAGAGATCGCATGGTCATCAGGCATCGCAGGAAGGCGCGGTGTGCGTACTTGATGAGCCGCTCGAGCTTGGCGCGCTGCTCGTCCGTGCCATGCCACTGCTGCAGCGTCTTGTGGAACGACTGGAAGACTTGGATTGCGCTGTCGTGGTGCGCCGCCTTAAGCTCTGCGTGCTACTCAACTCTGTGCGATGTGCTGTCTTCATACGGCGTACGCACCTGCGCCCAGTAGCTGGTGGCGGCCGTGTCCATCTCGCTGCTGCGCTCGGTGATGGTTGTGGCACTTGGTCGAGAGTGCGCTGCATCTGTCTCGATTTTTAATCGGGCCCAGTGCAAAATTGTTTTATGGGTCCCTCCATCATCTTGCTTTCAGTATGCAATGTGGAAACCAGGGTACCTAAATAGTATTTGGGGTACCCCATAAATTGATGGATGCACCAGCTGGTGCCGTTTTATGTCCAAATGGCCGTACATTCGCCGTACACTGTACAAGGAATCGTGAACAATTATCTTGGCATTTGTATGCGCTGTTCACTGCTCGTACGTCTCGTCCATGTACGGTGCTATCACTTTTTGGCTTCCTGCATCAAGCCGAAGAGTTGAGTGAATGCACGCCGATCGACACCCCCTCTATCTATCTATCTATCTATCTATCTATCTATCTA